AGCAACAATAATACAAGACATGAATGCTGTTGAATAATTGATACAAATACCAACGTTAATCTAGCTAATAATAATAGTCAATACCAAATAAATAATAAAACAAAAGAGAAAGGGAAGAAGCTTACTGTCTAGGACTTGGGTTGAGTGAAAAAATGTTGGTTTGGTGGATGAATTGGAGTGGGCTTGACATTGAAGAGGGGTTGTCTAGTGGTCTGAGGCAATGGTCTTTGGAGTGGGAATAGGAGAATTGTTTGATGTGTGGGTTTCGATTGTGATTGAGTGGAGAGGAGGATGCAGGAATGGGCTTATAGATGGGCTGGATTGGTGTTTGAGAGGTACTTTTAAGAGGAATGTTTTGGTGTTGTTTAGCTATAGAGAGGGGAAATGGATTGGCTGTGGCTGTAAGTGCTTGATTGAAGAAAAAAGATAGGTGTTCACGTGAATGGGAGCAGGTTGGCTTGGGTGAGGTATCGAATACTCGGCTGCTGGAGAGAGAGACATGGTCGGTGCTGAAGTCGATCATGCCAAGGGAAAGGGCCGGACAAGTCGGAGCTCTTGAGGCTAGGGGGAGATCAGAAGGCTGCGGTTTTGGAGGCGTTAGAGTGTGAGGGAGGCCGGTTGTGGTTTGCGGCTAAGGGGGAGATCAGGTGAGTTGAGGAAGGGAAATGTGAGGATGCTGCGATGGGTTGAGGAAGTCGGGCATGAGGGGTCGGCTCATGCATGTGAGTAGCTGTGGATTGACAAGAGGAAGGCCGGCCTATTATGGCTATTTGTGTGATCCTGACTTCGGCAAGGGGACGTCTGGTGCAAAGGGAAGTCGGCTGGTGTGGGCTAGAGGTGGAAGCTATAGGTGTCGAGCTGGCTTGCTGCAGGTGAGGTGTTTGGTTCCAACAAGGAAGTTGTCCTGAATTTGAAGCGGTTGTAAGAGTCCGGCCCTAAGAGGTGTTTGGATGGGAGGACTTCGAATGTTGGGGAGGACGGACGGGTGAGATCCAAAGCAAGGAGTTCGATCGGAAGAGGGAGTTCGTGAGGTAGCTAGGGGATTTCAGCAATTTGCAAGTCAGCAAAAACTCCTGAAGCTCTTCGTTTTGTTTCAATTTACGAGGTGAGGCACTCGACAAAGTGATTTGCGTGGAAATCCTGCGAGAAGACGCGAATATCAACAGGTTTTCAGGGATTTAGACATAATGATCCGAGGTAATTGGATTGCGATTTGCATTAACTGCTAGTCTAATATTAATTTTATTCATCAAATAGTTTAATAATAACAATACGTTATTATTATTACTATTAAATTCTGAGATAAAGGAAATGAATTAATCGCCCAAACTTTTGATTTACGTTCAATTGTCTTGAAACTCACGCTGATTTGCACATGCGACTTTCATTGAGTGAAATAATGGTCTATTTTGGGTATTGTCGATATTCCGATCGTAACGACAAAGTCCATTTTGTGATCGGAGGTTCTTTGGGCGACGTTGCGCGTCAATTTCCTTGATTTGTACATCATTGCCTCAGGACCCGCATTGATCTCCCCAACACACATCGCACGTCAATGACTATGAGGGGTCCCCCTCTTAGATGAACTCGACATCCTCATTGCAATGACGCAGTCCGTTTAGCAATCGGGGGTTGTTTGACCCTTCAAGTGATGTGTCGCATCGATGCACGCATTGCTTGGATCGCCGATTTCCATCTCTTTTTTACTTGATTTGATGTGTAGGTGTCAACATTCTCTCATCAAAAATCGATACAACTTCCTAAATCACTACAAAGTTGAACTTATACGCCTTCTTAGCCTCAAGGACTTATTGATCCTTTCTTTGGACGATATTCTAATACATTGATATCCAACATCCCCTCTAATGATGGATCTCAATCTCCAAACCTTATGCTAAATAGCACATTTATTCCTTGTTAAAATAGACCTTATGCAAAGCTCCTCATTCAAAAGTGTTCTCACTACAGGAAAAACGCCGAAATCCGGCGGTTTTTTCCGGCGGTTAGTCTATATTAACCGGCGGTTTTTTGGACTACCAGCGGCTTTACGGCGGTTTTTGGGCCGCCGGAAAAAATCGCGTAGGAAACTTTCACCGGCGGTTACGCCCATGGGAAACATTGATCCCTCATAACCAAAAAACCTATGTTTCATTCCTCATACCATGTAGGGAAAATCTCTAGGATATATTCTAATCTACTTTTTATTAATTCTCAAATATCTAGCATTAGAATTTGTTGGTCGTTGCTACCTGATGACCTCTATTTTAACTCTAAAATGCCTTGTGAGTCTGTTTCAAAGCCCACATCAGCCTATATCTAAGTTTAAATCAACGCAAGGTTGGCTTGAATGGCTTTAAGAAAATCTTAAGCCGGAAGAAGATTGGCTCAAGATTTAATCATTCACATCCCTAACGTTCAATGTCTGACAGAAATTTATATTAAAGTGGAAACCACCTTTAAACAAGTGAAATGAATCCTAACAGGAGAAGGAAAAGGTGGAGATTTTTTATACTAAAACAGCCCTAAAATATGCTAAATCAACATCAAGGCTTTGTTTGGATTGCACAAGAAATGAATTGAAATTGCAACAAGATATGAGGCTATCATGAATTTGCAGCAATTGATTTTAGCTTTTCAAACTTTTTTCTCTTTCTTTCCGCTCAAATTCCTAGAAAACAAACACAGCCTATCAAAAAATAAAGTAACACTTTATAGAACTCACAGTGGTGGTGAAATCTGCCTCCAGTTCATCATCTGATGCGACTGGGGATGCCTTTGCAAATAAGCACTAGTTCTGACGCTTGTTTCTTCAGAGATGAAATGCTCAGATAGGTTCGAAGGGGACCATACAGGAACCAGTCCTCCATCTCTTTCTGTGTAGCTGCTGGATGACTCCTCTGAAAACTCCAATCTATTCTGCAACCTGGCAGGGTTGAACTCTAAAACCGCATTATTCCTCACCACTGCAGCACCATCTTGATCAGTAGCTCCATGAGTTTGGTCATCAAAATTTACATTTGTCGGCACTTCGGCTCTGCCATCTTCCCTAGTGCTGCTTATATCTACAGAGATCGCATCTTCATCGTTTCTAACAAACGAAGAAGTTATGCTTGGTACCATCTGATCTATGTACCTCCTTGTTGTTGTCTGGAGATTATTAGCCCTAGTAGGCTCGGGATCCGCTTCCATATCTATTTCTTGAGGATAGTAAAAAGGGGGTAAGTCAGAAGAATCGCCAAGACCCTCTTCTGTTTCATTCTCCATGGCAGTCCTTGAAGCAGTTTCAATTTGCCACATTTCAATAAGAGCCTCTTGTATTCTTTCTTTGGCTGCAGATATTTCTACTATGGGAAGAGGATAGTTGGAACCGAGCTCAATGCCAGCGGCCTGGAGTACAGGTTCAGGCGCATCCCATGGATGGTGTATCCATTCAGTTGGTAGCCTGATGAGTTCAGGAAGCCAGCGGCGGACATATTCTCCATTTGGATCAAATTTGTAGCCCTCAAACTGCAGGTATCAAGGGTTGGAGCCAAAATTGTGAAGCAAGTTTTACGATGAGCTTAAACATTTACATAAAGAACAACATTAGTTAATGGTTGCTTGTGCTCAACATGGTTTAAGAACAAAAACTTGCAAGAAAGGCATATGTTATTTCGAACTTTAGTATATTTCTAGCTTTTATTTGGAGCTTTCTCGAGGAGTTTAAGTATGAGAAGGAAAAAAAAATTGGTGCATGAAATCTGAAAAATAATAAATCATCTTAGCAAGGAAAAAAACTCTTGAATCTTTATTTTTCAACAAGAATATGGCTACCTTTCTTCATGGTGATTGTTTAATCTGCATGGTTAATAAGTTTTTCAAATGAAAAGAAATTATCTCTGTTTAAAATTGCGCAACAAGAGGCGCGCCTCTGCGCAATTTGACCCAAAACCGCCTCAAAGCTTACGCAATTCCTCTCCTTGCAGAGGCGTACTCCTTACTTGGACTGAGGCGCGCCTCAGAGGCGCAATTGCGCAATTCTGGCTGAGGCGTATGCCTCAAATATATGCTCAAAACCGCTCAGTACAGGGGTAATTAACTATAGGGGCTTGCGCCTATAGGAAACAAGAACTCAGATCAAAAAGTCCTCACTAAATGAGGGCGAAATCTCTGGGTAGTGTCTTATCTAAAACCCAATCTGCCTTCTGAAAATTCCCCCGGGATCACACATCCCAAAAATTAGAATTTTTCGGAGCCCACATTGATAGACTAATATTTTGTGGTTTTGTACTTTAGGACATGATTTTATTGCATCTATTTTTTACTTTCCCCTAATTTTAATTGTCATTTAGATGTTTTTATTGTATGATAGAATCTTACTATTTTTTACTTGCTAAAACCCTTAAATTCTCATTTACGCAATTTTTCGTCGATGAGGCTTACACCTCACACCGCCTCGAGGCTTACGCCTCGCCTCACGGACGAAAAACGCCTCGAGGCTTATTTACGCAATTTTAAACCTTGGAAATTATGACATAAAATTGCACTATTTTCAAACTTTAAGAGTTCACATTAAGGCAATGAAACACAAGTATTTACCATGATTCATGAATAGCAAGAAGATATGGGGAAACTAGAAAGGGAACTGGACAATAGTTTCAATGATCAAATGTCATCATCATCATCTTTCTTCTTCTTCACCATCTTCATCATTGTCACTAGCCCAACTATCCTTCTAATTCATGCATTCCTTAGTTCATACTTCTTATTTTTGTTACGAAATCAAACAGATGACTTCTATAAATAGAATAATATTATATAGTAGATGTCATTTTTGAAACAAAATAATAAAAAACATAGCAAATGTCAGTGAACCATACAACCAATATAAGCAACTGAAAGATTGCTAGCAAGAAAAAGAACAACAAAATCCTGCTAAAAATTGTAATACCTGAGGGTTATCAATACGATCAAATTCTCGACCATCCGGAAGTGTACCGGATATATACTGCCAACCTAAAGCATCACATTCAAGATCAGCATCCAGAAGTGTATCCCAAAAGTACTTCATTCCCCACCTCCATGGAAGTTGCAATACTTTCACAAAGAAGCTGGACACAACCACACGAATTCGATCATGTAGCCATCCAGTGGCCCAAAGTTCTCTCATCCCAGCATCAACAAGAGGATAACCAGTTCTACCCTGCCTCCATGCTTTAAAGTAGTTTTCATCAACAACCCAAGGAAAAAATTTGAGGTGTGATAAAAGTGGCCTTTCATGGCTGAAAGGATGATTGAAACTCAAGTACCTAGAGTATTCCCGGAGGCCAATAGACTTGAGAAACAAGTTTACACTCTCTTTTCCAGATTCGTTTTCCTCATTAATCCATACAAGCAGCTTGATCTGGACAAGGTGAAAGACTTTTCGAACGCTGAGCTCACCAAAATGTAGATGAGGAGAAAGGAGAGAGGTTGTTGCACCATCTGCCTTTCTTCGGTTCACCGAGTAGTCAATCAATGGTCCATTGATAAAAGCATTTAGCGCCTTATTAGCATTCCGCCATCCTGGAGACCAAGCTCTTGCAAGAAGAGCATTACTTCCCCTCTCAGATTCATCCTCAAAAACAAGAGTATCTGAGGGGCACCTTGACACATCACCTGAAGAAATGCCAGTCACTTTTACATATTGTGTAACAACAATGGAATATTAAGTTACAAACATTCAAAAAATAAATTAAATACATTTTATTATTATTTTGTGAATCATTGATATAAAATGTTTTATCAACAAAATCAAAAGTATAATATAATGGAGACTAGGATCCCCTCCATCAGAAAAGGCATGTTATATCATGTAATTGCAAAACCAAACTAGAAAACAGGTTATACAGCTCTATGGAGATCAATCTCACCATCCATGCAACTACTAAATTCAAGATGGCTTCAGTAAGCTTTAATTTAAAGAGGAAACTAACAAAGGGAGAACTGTGGTTTTGAATTAACACCACATAGAAATTAACCGTTGGGTAATTGGATTGAGCAAATTCTCCATTCCTTGTTCCCCTCAAATTAAGCTTCCTACATTCAAATGTTTCAAGAGAAGCCCCTCCTAGGCTGAAGTAAGTATCAGTCTCAGTTCTTGAACGAGTTCAACATACTAGTAATGGGTTCAAGTTCAACAGAATTAATACAGCTAGGAACAAGAGCAATCCAAATTCATAGAGTGACTTTTGTATCAATGGAGGTAGTCTGAAAAATAATTTCCAAAATTTCTTCCAGGTAGCAGTTCATAAGAAGTGCTTGAGACGTTCTCGCTTCTTAGAAGCTTCACCATGATAGCAAATAAATAGGGGAACATAGATATGCAAACTCGGTTTATTAGATATGTTGGCAAAAATAAAGCTAGAAGACACACTCAAGAAAATTAAATCAAATATACCTGATATAATCCTTTTTGGTGGTAAGAGGGGAGCTGCAGGATCATATGGCATGTTAAGGCATTTATTCCAGAATGGTTCAAAAGTTGAAAATGGACAACCATTCTCATCTGCAACTTCCCATGGTTCATAAAGTAAATCAGCATTAAAAGATCGAACAGTGAGACCTCGAGAAGACAGAAGCTCCTTGATCCGGTGATCCCTCACAAGAGATAAAGGATCTGCAAGACAAAAACAAGGGAAATTACGGGCATAGCAACAGCAGAATATCACAAGTGCCAAATCTTAATGTGTTTGTTCTATCTTTTGTGGTTGACATAGAAAAATAGACAAGGCAATATTTTTATTTTTTACCCTACTTTTCAAACATCTCAAAATTAATCAAAATTCTTTTTATTAAATTCTATACTCCATTTCTACCATATTGATATATAAATACATAAATAAATAACGTGCCTATAATAGGTAATTTAATAACTTAGCAATTAAATCAAATCCCAAGAGTTCTCTGATTACAGTTACTGTAGCTGCGAGGTCTTTTCTAGAATAGCTGAGGCGGTGGGGCTTTTACAGCTACCATAGACTGAAGGAAATGCCACTTATAAAAGATCGAGACTTCATTGAGGAAAACGTAAGTAAGCCTGTTGTGAGGAGGACCTAATTATCCACATGAGACACTCAACTTCTAAAATAAAAATTAAATGATTCATATGACTAAAGTTTAAATAATTTATGACTTCCCTAACTATGGGACCTGACTTATTATGATTGCATTTATAGAAATTTCAGCATATTTAGCATATTAAAGACATCCAAGAACACCAAAAGGGTTCATGCACACCATACATAGTATATTTATTTATTTATTTTACACCATACATAGTATATGATCATTGATCCAATTATTTTTAGTTTAATCCTCATCAATTTCAAACAAAAGATTGCTTAATGATATATAATGTATAAAATGATTATTTTATATATATCATGTTTAATCATTAACATAAATCATTATGAAATGAAAAATGTTTATGTTAATGCAATGAATTATAAAAGATTTATGCAAGTTATATAATCATTGATTGAAATGATTTCAGGTTAATCCTCATTAATTTCAACCATAAACCTGTCTAACTATGTCTAAGGCATAAATGAACAGTCGCACATTCACAATTACATGTATCATGTTCCATTAACAAGGCACATCATTATGTTATAATCAATACCAAGAAAAGGGACATGCGAAATAGTGGTGATGTGAAACAACATGCGGTGAATCACGAATTGCACTTAGGAAATTAATAGAAGCAATGACTTTTAGCTTGCTACCAAAACTCTTTGTTTACTCAAGTTGAGTTTGAGAATAAGACATAGATAGATTAAGCAATGACAATAAATTACATGTACAGAGTTGAGGAGCCTCACAAAATAACACCAAAATTTAAATAATGTAAATAGCTAGCAATAATCAAAAACCCCAAATTTAATATCTAGATCATTCACCTTGAAGTCTTTCGCTCATTTTGAAAGTGGTGGCTAGCGGAGAAAAATTGTAAGTAGGCTTAGCGATGCCACTAATAGACAAGTGATCTTGAGAGGACTCGTCGCCGGGAAGGAAGCCGTAGTTGGAGAAGCGGGTGGGCGGCCGTCAATGATCCACTCGGAGTCGGGACGTTGTTTGTCGATGACGATTATGCGAGACGGTAGGATCCGATCCAAGTAGGCTCCAACGGTATCGTCGTCGGAATCAAATCCCGCATCGAAGAACAGCGATCGTTGGATGTCGAGGTTGCCGTGAGCGTCGAACACAAGTCCCCATTCAAATTCGGGGTCGGCCATGCATTATTGCCTAGGATTGAAGGAGTACCCGAGAGGGAATAGGAGGTGGCAGGTCTTGGGGTGGTGGAGGGAGAAGGAAAATAGATGTTATTTAGTGGGAGGGAAGAAAGCTGAAATCTGATTTCAGATTTTTAATTTAGAGGAGACAGGGAAGATTTGTTTCAAATCTCAAGTTTGAAATTTGAAATAAAACTGAAATCCTGTGAGAGATGGGGAGGAATTTAGGAGATATTTGAGTATTGATTGGTGGGGATTGGAGAGATAAAAGAGGAGAAGGTGGTCGGCCCCATGGAGAGATGAGAGCAACCAAAATAGTGATGTGGCCTCTCTTGAGAAACTTACGGAATTAATAAATCTGAGAATCGATTCTCAGATTTACTCTACAGAAAGATTTCCTAAATGGCTTTAGCTTCTAGCCATTGGAAACTTCCCGTTAAATGCAAAGAAATAAAACAGGCCACATTTCCTATTAGAAGGAGATGTATAATAGGAAATAAATTAAAGCCTTGGCATGGGATTTCAAAATTTGAAAACATGTGGGCGGGTTGGGACTGCTGGGCTGGCCGGCGGGAGGTTGGCTGCTGGCCGGCGGGTGGCTGTCGGCGGGAGGCTGCAGAAAATGGGTCGGCGGCTTTGGGCTGCTTGGAATAGGCAGCGGCAAGAGCAAAGGGAGGAGGAATTGGAACTTTCTAGAGATTCGAAGAACGAATTCCAATCTTCGACAATTGCTTCCACCCAAACCTTCGTGACGACGACGAGATCTCGAGAAATAAAGAAATATAAAAGAACAAGAAGAACCTAGAACTCACAAAGAGATCTAGCTTCTCCTACGAACTCACTAAGAGATCGTGGAGGTTTGCACTCACAAAGAGAACATGAAATGTCAAATTTTCATTTTTCAAAAACTCCTATTACATGAGAAAATGACCATATAAATAGGCCTCAAAATGACAAAGAAAGTAAAGTACTAAAATGCCCCTTGGGCTACAATAACTACCAAATACCCATAAGGGCAAAAACGGAAAAACATGAAATAAAAATAAATTACTACATAAGATGATGAAAATATAGATCATGGTCGTGGCCGTCGATCTCCGACATCTCCTGGAGGTACATCTGTCGAAATCGCTGCTGATGTCCCCATCAAGCAGACAGGTAACTCGGTTTGCTTTATACAACAATATGTTGGGTGTATAATGTCAAATATTATAAAAGATGAGTATGATGATGATATAAATTGAATTCCTTTGGTATTTATAAACTTATTTAGAAAATTATATTAGAGGCTTTGCATTTGATTTGATGATTTGATTTTAATTATGTTCAATCTCAATGCTTATGATGAATATGTTAAATGATACTTAAGTGTCAAGCATACTTTTTGGGAAGATTGAGCTAGGCTATTTTTCACTCATTTGATCCTAGCAAGTTAAATCAGGATAGGTGAGGTGAGATTTATGTTTGACTATATTTTTTTAGTTTTGTTACGCCTTACGATTGCTTGGAATGTAGAGGAAATAAAAACCACACAGCAAAACAAACAAGAAATAAAAAATTGCAGTGGAAATAAAAAAAAGCAAAATTTAACATGGAAAAACCTGAAACTGGAAAAAAATGACGAAACCACCCTACACCACACCAAAAAATTCACCATGAAAATTTGGGAGAAATAGTACAAATCTCTCTTCTCTCTCACTCCCTCCATGTCTCTCTTTACCCTTGCACTATTCTCGCACAACCAAACAAAGAGAAACATTCAGAAACCACCAAGGGACACAACCCTTAATGAAAAAATAGAAAGAAAATTGTCAGCCTGTTCACAGCCCGCAACGCCGAGTTTGGAGTGCTGCAGTGTTCCACTCTCTGTCTCGAATCTGCCTAACAACGTCGCAGCACCGGAGTCTGAAGCGCAGTGATGCTCATTGGCAGTGCCACAGAGCCATGGTTTGGAGCACCGCAACGTTCCACTCTCTGTATGTCAACAAGCAAACTATACAGCGCCGCATCGCTCGTGGAGACAACACCGCAGTATGTTTCTACGAGAATAAAAATTTTACCCATTGAACCCCCCTAGAGAGCTCGACTTACTGAATTAAAGTCCAAGGCAACAGTATAGCCTTATTGATCAATACAATCATATTCCACAAAGAACTAACATGGAAGGGGGTGAAAACTCAAAAGACAATTAGAGATTATTCCTAGATGAACTCATCAAAGGTACTATCATCAATTAGAAAATTGTACCTGATTCACCCATTACATAGTCAATTACACTGAGTTCAGTTTGTGTATTTTCTAGGTAATTATCCATGTGTCCAATTTCGTAATGTAGACATTGATTTGCACTATAAAGATGGGGAACTAGCAAGCACAGACACATGCAACATCAAGTATTATATAAATCTCTATCGTATTGAAATCTAATACATTGAATCTCTTTAAGACTTTCCTTAAAATCTCTCTTCTCTGAATTGTTAATTATTAACTTGATTCAACTTGCCCTTGTATATTCAAAGGGATTTGATCAGACCTTTTATAAATCAATTCACTAAGACATTTAAACATAGCTTCTCTTTCTCTTCTCCTTCGTTCTTCGAGCCTGGTCCATTTTTTTAACAAAATATTGGTCTATTTCCATGGATAACATTGGATCCCGCAAATAAGATCTATAATCACGATGACATAAAGTAGCGAGAGAACCAAGGATAAGACATAAAAAAATGAAAAAAGTTTAGTGCATATAAACAGAATAGTGGTAGGATATGAAAAGAAATATGCTAAAACTTGGACAAAAGTGTTAAAAGGGTAGGAGGAACATTTAAAAAAAGCAAAACAAAAGATAAAGCTTATCAAGCACCTAATACTAGGAGCAATAATCCATATTTTACATATAGCACAATCCAGAATTTAAACACTAAATCACGAGAAATTTCTTTATTGATTTTAAGTTTATGTACAGGAAAAACTGAATATTTAATGCATGGCAAATTGCTAATAAATTTTGGGATAAAAAAAAAACTAAAAACAGCAAAACATGATAAAAACAATTGATACTTCAAATTGAAAACAAAAATAGGTAAAGAAAGTATGCCTTAAGTAGAGCGACCTATATCCAAGATAATTGATAATTAAAGATCATTTGGGAAAAAGCACAATCTGAAAAAAAAAAAAGAGTTATCCCAAACTAAACTCAAAAGTCGACTGAAGACTTTCACAGCCATAACATAAGGATCCAAGACAAGTGGTGAAGTCGGCTCATCAAAAGACAGATTAAGAATCAACAAAGCCAGCACCAAAGGAGAAACTTTACCCAATAGGCAAAAGTCAGTACTTTACTGAATCATAAAATAGAGAGCAATAATAAACAAATTTGACAGCTTTTTTTGAATAACTTTCCTTTCCAGAGAAGAGAAAGAGGAACTGACCATAGAGATGATTAAAGAAAAGGTTTGTAGCACCAGTAGAATTCACAACATCAACAAGAGTTGAAGCAGTATCAAAAGACCTCTTTGTAATAAGATTAGACCCAAGGCTCCTAAGGGAGGAATCGAGATGCTTCAAACTCTGGCTCAACCACCACCTGGAAACTCTTCCAGGAAAGTAGTGGCCTTCTTCTTCTGGAGCCCAAATGAAAACAGAAACCACATATCCAGCCCTAACACCAGCAGCAAGAGCTGGGTTGTCCTCCACTCTAAGGTCCCTCCTGAACCACACTATACTGATGTTGTTATTACTTGTGTTTCCACCATTAGTGCTGCTTGCGGGAGGCATGATTGGTAAATTGGGTGAAGGAAAAATAAAATCAAATTTTGGTGTAGGGAAGTGGGAAGCGAGATCGGAGGAGACCAAAATAAAAAAACGGATTTTGGGATTGCGAAAATCGCGGAAAAAGCGACGAAACTATTAGGTAAGAGTCCAGTGCTGTGTTGAGGAAGCTTGGAGGAGTGGAGGAGAAGGATGCAGCTAGAAGATTTGGGGATGAGATAATAATGATTATTCCGTTTTGATTTTTTTTTTTCCTCTTTCTCTCCTACGACTTTATGGTTTTGGAAAACTTGATAATTACATAATTAAAGAAATATGATAGTTATTTATTAATTGAATGAGTATATTCAATAAAATTATCTTCATGTTATATAAGTTATTTATTGAAATTTGTTATGAAAGAATTTAATTTAAATTAATTTAAATTTTTATTTGATGCTTATTTGAATATTTATTCTTATAATATTCAATCTTATGATTATTAGCTGTAATAGATATTGATGGGCACGATTATGATAATTTCATTTTAAATATTTTTTATTTTTTTCTTTCGCGTGCTATCTTATATAAGTATGAAGCACTATATATCATATTTAAGTCTTAATTATATTGTATGTTTAAAGATAGTAAATAAATAGAATTTTAAGATAGATATAAAGAATTATGCCTTTGCAACTCTCTGTTAGCCGAGATGCATAGTTCTACAAAAGATTTTAATATGATGAGAGATTATATTAGAATATTTCAAAATGGATTTAAAAACGATTGAATTTATTCTAAGATTAGCGCATGATAAATTTTATTTATAACACTTATTCAAAGTAAATATAAGAATTTTTAAGTCATCAAACACTTTTAAAAAAAAAAAAAAAACTAAGACGACAACTTCTATTTTCGTACATCAAAAATTTTTGGTATAATTATATTATTAGTACGATGATATATGTATTATAAGATAAGCATGACTGTGACAATATTTTTGCATGACAAATTACATTCATATTAATAATTTATGAACTAGTTAATAAAAAATATAATAAAAAAATCTCAAATAATGTATGGATAAGTCTTAGAAAATGAGCACTAACTCAAGTTGCGCGGTCACAAATCCAATCCAAAATGCAAACTTTTTAAAGCTAAACATTAGCAAATATGATACCGTAATCTACCAACAAACCCCGAACTGTTATTCTTTATAAATAAATTGTAATTTTAATCATTATTTTAAAATAACAAATATATTTATAATTTAGCAAAAAAATACATGAAACAATCAATAGCCAGTGAAAATGATAAATAATAATAGAGAATTTATAGTGTATTTAAAAATTATAGGAGAAATGACCGTAGTTAATGACAGTGACAATAATGTTGAAAATAAATTAAATATATACATAAAAATAGAAAGAATTCTCCATTATCAAAACAACACTATCCTCACATATCAGTAGAGGGCAAATGAGAGTCACCTCAAGCCAATCAATTCCTAATCAACCATACACTCATCAAGAGAGGACAAAGATCATCTTGGCCCAATAATCAACCTCCAACGAGGAAATTTTTTTTTAATTATTTTGATTTAAAATGAAAATTAAAAAAAAATATATATATATAAAAGGACGAGCACGTGAGGTGGATCTTATCATGTCGACCTTACACGCTTCACAATTCAGTATTCCTTAATGAAAGTGGCAATGGAGGCTTCAGGCTTAGAATGTGACGTGGTCCAGTACTGGAAAATGCCATGCCACTCTGCCACAGCCACTTGTTCCCTTTATTCAATCTTTTCTTCTTACCCTCTTTTTCTCTTCCTTTCTCCCGAGAGATTATTAAATGGGGAGTGCGTACTATTCACATAAATACTGAGTATCTAGCGGTATCCTATGATACCTAGTGATACTGAAAGGCCTAGCGATACCGAAAGGGATATCGCTAGATATCCAATGCTTATACAGACAATTCTCCCCATCTGCACTCCGCAACCTAACAATCTCTTGTAACTTTCAAAGTACACAATCCTCTTATCCTGGAAATCGATTCCTCCAACATGGCTGAAAAGTAAACAAACGCCTCCAAATTCAATAGTCGAGTCTTTCGACAATTAATATGACTTCTATGATGCTTAGCGCCACAAAAAGAAAATGCAACAATAATGGATTGCATTTTTAAGATGTTTTATTACTATTGAAAGCCAAAGCGGAGATTTGTTTCATATATAGATATTAAGAGCATGATATAAAATGAAATTTTACTCTAATGTTATTCATTTTTCGGATGTTTTCAGCTCCAAAATTTTCAATTTCAGTTAAATTCAAGAGTTCCAGCAGAAATAAAATTAATAATAAAAATAAAAACTAACCCAAAACTTTTAGGTTTAAACCAAGCTTTACAGAAAATATTCGGGCAAATTAATACTTACATTCTATTTCTAAAGCCCCACCAAATTTATGCGTAGTAACTTGCCGTATAATTAGATAATTACCTTAAATTCATTTTTAAAATATTTATAAGAAATAACCAAATTTATGATCAAAATTAAATCCAAAAACAAATTACACTATGAAAATACTACAGCTGAGATATTCCATAAAAAAAACTTATCTACAGTCAAGGTTTTGTTTTATTTGGGACGGCTTTCTTATTGCTTCTTAAAATAAATTTTTAGTATAAAACTTAAAATTTTTATACTAAAATACTGTTTTAAGAAGCCATAAGAAAGTCGTAACAAACAAAACCTAAATAATATAAACATTATGTGGTCAGACTGATGTGGATCCAACGCCATCAGCAATGCTTAAGAAAAACTTGTCAAAGGGTTGATTGAGTGAAAATAGCATTTATCTCAATCCAAGGTTTTCATCAATCCATCCCAAGCGTACAATGCATTTATGCTCACCCGTCCAATTAAATGGGCTCGAATGACCTTCCCTTCTTTTCTCAAAAAGAAAAAAAAGACTTCATTGTTTCAGATTATCACAATGATGTGACTTTTGAATTCTTTACAATCAAAAAATATCTGCAGGTGAAACAGTCTATACAACTTAATTTGATCAATGTTAATGTTAGGGGAGAGATGGAATTGCAATTTTGATAACTGAACTAGCAAAATTTAACTGTTATAAATGGCCGAATCGAATCGGGCATGGAGGAAGGTTTTAACCGTTGAACCTTTCAAAGAAGTAGAGGTAACCCATGTCGATGGGTGGATCAACAGATGCGCCAACTTTGCTATCATTGAAAATGACCCATCTTCCTTCCTTACGGACATGGGCCACATAGTGACCACAATGAGTTGATGTGCCGATGTGGCTAACCAGTGCCAACAGTTTATACCCTGCAGTGCAGTTTTTTTTTTTTTTTAATTAATAAATGGAATTAATCATCTATAATGTCATGGTAAACAGCAATATTCAAATAATTAAAACCACGCTAGAAAAAATAGTACTGAGATCAAATAGTCAGCAGAGAAAATGAGACCAAGCCAATCAAGCAAATGGATATCCTAATCAATCAATTTTCAGGACATTTTTTTAAAAGAAAAATAAAAACAATACAATATAAAGCAGAAGCAGATGCTCTATAGCCATTGGTTAATCCACAACTTGTGGGCATAAAGAAATGCGAGCATCAAAGGACAGACCGAGTTAGGATCACCAATGCCCCCAAAAACAGGATAATCATCAGGAGCAAAAGCTTACGATGGATCGGGAATCGGGATAAAAAAATTTATGAGAAAGTACAGGGTGAATCATAGCCATTGGACTTGCATCCAAACAAGGCAATGAATCTAAGAGTGAATCTATGTGAAACCCCTCTGTAGCTTTAACAAATGAAAGAGGAGCACAAGTCGAGAATGGTTCCACATAAGTCAAAATCCTAGGAGTAGGAGCGACCATAAGAAAAAGTTATACCATGCATGATTACTGGAGGTGCAATCAGCAAACCAGAAGACATGGATACTGATGTTATACCTCGCTTCAATTTTGAGCCAATTGAAGCGAGGAAGCACAACGCTGCACACAAAATATTGAATATAAATTGACAAACTATGAGGCAAATTGCAACATCAAGGACACCACTCGAGACACAATTGTTAAAGATGGTATGAGTGTCGGTGAGTCTACGATGCACCGTCACTTCTCCTCAAAAAGGCATACAATGTCAGACGCAACATGCATCCGACACAAGTCCGATTAAAAGAAATATTAAAAATAAATTGGACACGCGTCTTAAATATTTTATGAAATTTTTTTAAATATAATCTCTTGTATATAAAATTTTTATTTATTTAAAATATAAATACTAAATTTTTTATTTCCTATCAAAAACACCAAATCAATCGCCCGCACTTAATAAACCATTAATCAAAACTTTTAATTTTCATTTCTCTTTGGCGGGTCGCGACTTTGGTTTCACAACAATGCTCGATGTCATCTCAACATAAAAGCCTAAAGTTGTTACAACATTAACATTTCAAAATCATTTCAACATCAAAGTTTGACAGTGTCTTGACATTGATGCTCAACGCTAGCAATTTTTACACCCACAACTTGATAGCTCATATTTGTCTGACGTTATCTTAACATCAACGGCCAACACCCTCTTAACATCGACACCCGATACTTATTGTATAGCATTGATGCTCGACTCTCGACAACATTGTTAGCTCGTTTCTCGATGCTTGATACATGACATCAACATATGACTTTCGACATCCAAATTTTAATCATTTTTAGCACAAATTTTAATTAAATGACTTATTATTTTTAATGTTATACTTATTCAATTTTATACAGCATTTTTAAAATATAAAAATTATAATATCGTGTCCAACCCATATCCGTGTCCTATATTTTCAATAATTGATGTATTCCATGTCTGTGTCATGTTGTATCCGTGTCGTCGTATTCGTTTCTGTGCATCATAGGTGTGAGTGCAAAACCCAGAGGCAACAATGCCAGCATAAGAGGCATGAAAGCATCGCACCATGTAAGGGGAAGAGGATGAAACAGTGAAGCACGCAGCAAGGACTATGACTAAGCTCCCACAAAATCAAGAAGAGCTAATCAGATAAATAAGAAATAAACAAAATTAACCTTCAAGAAATACATGTGTTTTACATGTGGGAGAAGTCTTTTTATGAAAAAGATTGATATTTATATGAACACAATTAGAGCTTGGGATTATAATTCATCCCAACCAATCGTCCAAAAAGAAAAAATGGTTTCTAAAGGTTATCCCATTAGTTGGAGGGGCTATAATAGACATCGTGGCTAATGAAAAATGTAACTGATTTACTACCATCCGCAAACACATGCAAATGTAAAATAAATTTATACATGATGCAGCTTCAGTGCATGTTTGAACTTTTATTATTCGTTAAACTTATGCAAATCTAGAAGTTTATTTTATGTTCTTCATCTCGTGTGCCGCAGAATCTGTAGCATTTTGATTCTTTGGTCAACTTGATTTACTGTTTGAACTAAAAACAAGCCGGTTCATCTCACATTGGATTCCCCAATTTAATTGTTTATAATTTCTAGTTTCAACACGTCTGGTTCCCCTGTTCTGTTTAACCACTTATTTGGAATGTTCTGCTTTTGTTTCTTTCAATTCCTAATTTATGCGCTATAGCCTGGGGTCTGCAACTTCTGTCTGTCTTATGGCATTTAATTGGCATATGATAGTCAAGATAATTGGCAATGTTTTACTTTCTATAAAACGTTTGCAAGTTTTCGTTATGCTGTTGGCTTTCCTTATATTAGCCTATTTCCAATGAACTTGCGACTTGTCTACTATAGCTAGTGTTTGACTATTGGCTTTCTTTATTCTCTCGTCTTGGTTATGTAGTAGGCATTGATGCTTCTTGTTTAGAGCAGAGTGGATTGAAAACTTACGGACTAAGTAAGATTCAAGATAATTGAATTGAAGAATGTAAAATTTTAGACACAATTTGAGGATTCTGATAGACCACCTTTTTTTTTTTTTTGATATATAACTAAGACCAATGAGGCATACAATAAAACATCAATTATTTAATGAAATTCTTGTTTTATCACAAACTTGTGTGCTTGTTGCACGTAATTTTTCAAAATGCAATACAAATCTAGACAAAAAATTGCAACGCAAGCATATTTGTCTCAGCATGAAGCCCGAATCTTCAATTTGGTGATTTCTATCCTTGCTATTTTTCTCTATGTATTTTGTGATTGATTTTGCATGGGCAATTAGAATTTAATCAAATTAGCTATCATCTGATTTTCCTATTGCAGTGTGAATTCCAATCACCATACAATTTTCATTCAATCTCAGTCTTGTAAATTTCAAATTTTAATGGCCCTTAAATTCTTGTTTGAAGTAAGATGTAAATGCTTCCGATTTCTGCATCAAAAGAGAGAAACTTTGCTTAAACTGAGAGTTACTGAAGCGTGAATTTTGATTTTTTGTCTTTAATTTCAACATCCTATCCTCGATTTACATTAGTGGAAACATTAAAGAATTCAGAATCAAGACAAAACGAAAGCACTGAAGTGCAACATACCAACGAGGGCACGAAAATGGCAAGGGTAAAAATTGACTAAAAACAATCAAAACCACTCAATCATTGCATTCCAATATTGCTCTGGTAGTCTATAGTATTAATCATTTCAAGCGCATTCATTCCAGTAATCTGAAACTAGAATCAATATGAAAACTATAAGCTACCATTATAAAACATTAAAGCTGCTCCCACCATATCATCATAATTTGGCATGACTTCCAAAACTATCATAGCAATAAAGCCTAGTTTGAAACCATTTTGAACTTTTTAAAACAAGAAAACAGAGTATGATTATGAACAGTATTTGGAAAGAAACTAAATAATTAGACTTTAACAGACATAATCAAGCAGAAATAATTGAACGAGGGTGACAAAGGAGGAACATACTTCCATTTCCATCAGGGACACTGCCATCAATAGTCTGCGTGTTGCTTGAAGTTGTGGCATCAGTATCCATAGTTGAGGAAGTAGCTTCAGGATGATTAAATATCCAATCTGTAGCCTTCTCAATGATCCCACCCTACAAAAATTTAAACCGGCTATTGTAGAACATATTTAAAAATTATAATGCTCTCAGAACCAACCAAGAACAAATTTACTAGCGCCTAAGACCATCAGAAGTCAAGAAGCGTGTCGTCTACACGAACATCACCATATAGCACCCAAAAGTGGAAGATGAATTAATTACATACCGAGGCCTTCAATGCTTTCCGAGCAACCACTTCTTCAAATCCAAATGAAATCAGCGTTTCAACACTTGCTTCATCAATGATTATACCAGTATCTCGAGGCCCATAATGAATAGGATCATCGATATCTAGAGAAAGAAGTTTGCACATAAGTTAGCCACGATGCCCAGAAACTGAAACTTAGAAATTTTTCTTCAGAGGATGAGGGATTGGGTGGTTCCCTATGGCCATCACATTAACCATTTGTAAGGCAACAAACTAATATATGACTGATCTGAAGTCAAACCTGGATCATCCATGTGCGCTAGTAACCAATTCATTGCTTCCTCCACCCCAATATTAGAAGTGTTAATAGCAGCTTTTTGACAATGGAGATAATTAAATCCCATGATTGCCAGCTGTGAAACAATATCCTCGTTGGGGACAATGTGAGTGGCTTTATTCTCATCAACGCTGGAAGCTGCAGAACACCAACCAAAGTTTACTACAGTAACAACACAAACATCACAATTCAACTTCTCCAAAATTAACTGTCAAAACTTCTAACACTTATTGTCAACCAACCTTTCTCTGGAAGTAGTTCTTCTCCTGACTGAATACCTTTACTGCGCATACGGGTGATATCAATGATATCAGGAACATCAATATACACATCTAAATAATTTAAAAAATAAAAAAAGCACTGTAAGGTTGAAGTTGCACTAAAAATTAAAACAATTAAGTTATTATCCCAGCAAAAGCTAACAAAATGAAGCAATAAATTACCCAGTTTCTTAGGCACCCATCCCTCCTCCAATACAAACTTGCGCATGTGCAGAACCAGGTAATCCGGGAAAGTTGTGAAACCAGCGGTCCTACAGAATGATCCGTGAACAGATAAATAAAATAATTTAGTATCTGAAAAGCATGATCACGCCAACCTTTACTTGACTAATACTAGATCGATTCTCAATCATTACATTAAACATAAAGAATTGATCTGCATTGGCAATACAACTTAAATTTTCAACTGCAATCAAAACTAGTGGGCAAATTGAAATAAATGGTTAAGAGAGATTTTACATTTAATGATAAAAGATAAATCTGAATGAGGTTTGATATTACTTGAGAATGCATACAATTCATGTAATAACCTCAAACTAATTTTTCCTAAAAATATGGCTGGGAGAGTGTTGCAGCGCTGAGTTGGGTGGCGCCATGATATTGAGCTCACAGATTTTTTTAAATTTAAGGGAGCGTTGTGGCGCTAGGTTTGAAAGTTTGTTTTTATAAATAAAAATATCTAAAACCATTTATATTACACCCTTACCACCCCTCTCCCCTTCCCCATTTTGTTTTTGCCAGGTGAGAGAAGATAGAGACAGGGAGAGAAAAGAAGAGAGATAAGAAAGAAAAAGGAGAAAGAAAGCAGGGTTCGAGTAGATATCTTTCACCGCCCTAACTAGGAAAAGTATTATAATCATGGTAAGTAATCCTAAACCTACTTCTGTTTTCAGTGATTTTATGTTTTGTCAATATAGATTAAAAAATTTAGGTGTAAAAAAAAAGAAAATTAATGTTTTGTCAATTTTTCCCCTATGGATTTGGTAAAAAAGCAATATCTCTCATTTTAGTGATTTTTCATCATATAATTTTTTATATGTAGTAGATATCATTCCCCTGAACATTTTGATTGATTTATATTGAAACTTTATTGGGAGATTCTGCTTATATGTTATTTTAAATAAAATTAATATAATACATACTATAAAATGATTATGAGTCAGTATAGTGCATCTAAACATGAAATACATGATATGATACATTTATTATTCATTTAGTCATACATACTATTTCGACATATTACAAGGATATTAATAAGTATAATGATAGTTGTATTGAATGTATGTAATATTTGCTATTATGCTCTATATGATATAAATGTGTGTAAAAGGAAAGAAATATTGGCTGGAAATAATTGACTTATTCAAGTTAGTTGGAGACATATTACCCTATAAAAGAGAGTGAGCCGACGGATTATCTTTTAAATAAGGTTTGTGATGTAATCCTAAGTAACATGAAAAGGGAGATATAAAATTGATTGTATGATATGATACACCGACATATAGGATATGATGATTTCTTATATTAAAGTCAGCTGACTTGTGATGTGGTATGAGACTAATTTATGATAACATGATTAATATAATTGAGACTGATTCCTATAAGGTTAGCCTACATAATTGGATACAAGAAAAGTACCACAGGTGTCGGATGCCCTAGCTTTTATGCATATGTATATGATATAAGCATACATGAAAATTTGGATAAATGACATAATATTACACGATATGCGCATGATATAGAATATGACTGTTACATGCATAAAATATGACTGATAAGATTGATACAATTATATATGATACACATGAAATATATGATATACATATTGCATTGCATGTGATAGAAATATATGATATATATGCATTGACACTTGATATTGTACAACATGCATATAATAGATATTTACTAACTTAATATGATAAGTATATTGATAGACATGAAATGACATAAGTTACCTATACAGAATCATGATAGACTCGTTGCATTGTATTTGATATGACCTACGAAATCTTGATTTTCTTACTATTGTGAATTGAATTTTGATGAATGAATATATAAATGTTTTGCTGTATAAGATTTATCATTGCTTTCGTTAAACTTATTAATATTAATGAATTATTAAAAAACATTGATATATTAACCAAGAGATGAAATAAACAATTCTTCTAATTTAAGTCTTGGGGTGTCATGGTTCATTTGTCAATATGCCTATTGGCACAAATTCATTTGAAAATGTTACAAGATTTCAATCAAAAAAGTCTACAGATCTTATCACCTTACTATAAATTCAAGGCCTAGTATATTTGCACAAGTCATTTATAAAACATATGCATGACTAATTATATTTGCAAAAAATGCCGACTAATTATAACAATTATAAGCCTTCTACTAATGTGAAGGAGAGGTCCATGGAGTTTAACTCTAAAGATAAAATTATGGTGCATTAAAATTCAGAAAGACGATCACGAGTACCTCAAAAAAAATAAAATGTTAGGCAGGGTTTATTACGTATTGAAACCTCTGTTTAAAATTGCGCAATAAGAGGCGCGCCTCTGTGCAATTTGTCCCAAAACCACCTCGAAGCTTACGCAATTCCACCCCTGGCAGAGGCGTACGCCTCACTTGGACTTAGGCACGCCTCAGAGGCACAATTGCGCAACTCTTGGTGAGGCGTACGCCTCATGGGATTAGGGCCAACCCACTTAAAATGAAGGTTTTTTTTCTCCTTAAACCCGCACGGCAGCAGCTCCTCCCGATTTTTTCCTTCCCGCAGGCTCTAGTTCGCGAAACAGAGAGCTCCCGCACGGTCCTTACCCGCGCGCACTATCGCATTATATTTATATCAAGTGAGCAATTAACATGATAATGATCTTTTCTCTTATTGAATAGGGAAGAGAAAAGTGAGTCATATTGAAGATGATGATGATATGACATTCATAGATACAATTGGAGAAATCTTCCTTTGAAGACCCATTTAGTGATGAGATATGATTGCATTTTATATGTTCTTTGTACTTTAGGAGTTTTGTTGAACTAATATTTTGTGATTTTGTACTTTGAGACATGATTTTATTTCATCTATTTTGTTACTTTCCACTATTTTCATATATCATTTAGATGTTTTTATAGTAAGATAGAACATTGCTATTATTTACCTGCTAAAATCCTTAATTTCTCATTTACGTAATTCTGTGTCCGTGAGGCTTACGCCTCAGACCGCCTCGAAGCTTACGCCTCGCCTCACGGAAGAAAACCGCCTCGAGGCTTAATCAAGCAATTTTAAACCTTGATTGAAACTAATACATAAATGTTTTTTAGAAATTTTTGTTATTAATCAAATTTTCAATGATTTTGATATGACGTTATTTCATTATCCTACTATCAATTCCTTAAATGCTAGTTTTCCCACCAGTTCATGTTGTCAACATCCAATCTTCTACCAAACAATTCTAAACCTTGTTCTCAGGGCTATTCTAAATGATAATATTGTATCCACTGCTAATGATGGATTCCAAATATATCTTATTCAAGGGCATGAAAAACTTGTTTATAATGACTCGTTTTACTTTGCAAGAAGCACAAAACTTGTCCTAATTTGCTTGATGTGAGTGTTAAATGCGAATTTTGGAGTCAAAATTTTCCAAAACAAATGATTTGACTTGGTTAGGAGAGTAGATGTATTAGATTTGGCTTACATTAAGAAATGTAGAGATGGACCAAAAAAGACAGAAAATATTAGAAATGATTTTTTCTTTATTAGATTTAAATGAGAATGACTCTTTATAGAACACAATGGAGAAAAATGATTCATGTAGCCGACCTCACATAGTGAGAAGGCTTGATGTTGTTGTTGGAAGTAAATATGACAAAATTTTGCATGTTCATTCATATTGAAAGTATTACATCAATCAATGACCAATGCAAAACTTATTTATTTTAATTAATTGATTTATCATATTTTATTATGTAATTACAATAGCTCGAGACACGCATATGATAATGATCTTAAGAAAGGGTGTATGGTTTCCTATTGTAGGTTGGTTTATATAGTTTGATATAAGGTCAGATTGCTTTTGTTTTTATATACCTTCAAGTTCAATTCAGTGTTACCAATGGCTCATATTGGATGGTGATTATGGTGATAAAAAAGTCTCAATTTATCAAGTCAATTTCTTTCAAGTGAAGTAGATTGACAAGATACAAAATTTGTTCTTATTTGCTTGATGAGTGCTAAATGCTACACTCAAAGTCAAAATTATCCTAGCCTTATGGATTTGGAAAAATTTTCATGTTTATTTTATTTCAAAGTACCATATCAAGTAGTGATCTAAGATAATTTTATTTATTTTCATTAAATAAATATTTTACAACATTTAGTAATTACACTAACAACAACAACATCATCAAGTCTTTATCTCACTATGTGGTATCTGCTACATGAATCATTTTTTTTTTTCATTATGTCCTATTAAGAGTCAAATTCTCATTTAAATCTAATTAAAAAGGTCTTTTCTAATATTTTCTAACCAAGTCTTTTTAGGTCTAACTCTACTTTCTTAACATAGGACAAATCTAAAACATCTATTTTCCTAACCGAGTCATCGGAAGGCCGGCGTTTTATTTGACCAATCTATCTAAGGCAACTCTCTCTAATCTTATCTACCACTAGAGCTACTCCAACCTTTTCACAAACATTAGGAGTCTCAATTTCGGGTCACGGGTCGGGTTCGGGTCAAACCCGAAATTGACCCGACACTGTTCGGGTTCGGGTCGACCCGACC